CAAAGTCCTTTTATTGGTGTTTTGATAATGCTCCTTATGAGTGTTTCCACAGATTACTGTTATGAGGTATGCATATCCTTTTCAGTAGAAGGATATTCCTATAATGTATAAGGAAGGCATATCAAACACAGATAATATATACAGTATTGTTGAAACTCTATTTACTTTTTATGATGTTCATATAACTACATTCTAGTCCCTCTGAGATATAGTACAATTATACAAGCTACATCCACATTGATTGCAGTTTTCTTATTCAGCTGTGTAGCCTAAGGGCTTAGTACCCTGTTCTCCAATGGGCATAATGTGTTCAGCAGTTTTATAGGATTTACTATGTGTCTAGAACCTCCTACAGAAATTTTGTAGGAAAATTTCAACTGCCTTCATCATGTTACAATGCATGTGACTCTTGGCTCTGTTGAACTACGAAATTTCATCAAATATTTGCTTGCCGTTGATTCCATCCTGTGACACTGTGATTTAGTAGCCATATTTGATATAAGTTTCATGTAGGAACAATAGATTATTAGGGAATTATCAACATTTTTTCAGTATATGTACTTTGATTTATTTGTTATAATCGAGACAGTTATATAATACAGAATGTTTGAAAAAAGGGAGCATTATTTTTTATGTGGTTTAATATTTTTTAGATTTTAGTATATCTTCTAATGATACAGAATTTTTAAAACTTGTAAAATATTCAGTGCTTGTGCTGCCTTGCAAAGTGCAAATGTTCCTTAATGCATTAATGCATATACACAAATGGGATTATTTAGAGTCCAGATAATATTCAAATTGTAAAAGTAAATTCCACTTGTCATATAATATTTATCTGTTTAAGTAAAAACTGCTTGCATGTAAACCTCATTTTCTGAACATGAAACATATTCCCTTCATTATTATATACCTAGTTAGGGTTCACAAATTCTGTTCACTATTCTGTACTTTTTAGTGGATTTTCAAGATAATTTTACTGGAAGGTGTGTGCATGCCAGAAACTTTGATACCAGTGTGGTAACAGATTTTGTACAAGAATATAAATTTGATTATTCTGGTGTAGCTTTCTTGGCTTCTTTTGAACTAGGTTTCTTAAAATTATTGACATTTGCATGTAATGCAAAAATATCCAAGGGCATTTTAAGATGTTTAACCCCTTACCCCCAGACTATCTAAGACTGATAGTAGTGTGAAAAATTGTGCAGATCCCTTTGATCGAGAATGTGCCAGTTGTCTTGAATTCATGAGTGTGCATTACTGCATGTGCACACTGCTTGGAAATTCCTCTGGTACTGTACTTAGCACGGTATACTGGTATATGATCTTTTGGTGTTTTTTTATGTGTTATTAAATGGTAATGTACATTTTATAAGTGCAATATTAACAGTGAAATGAGTACATGTTATATTGATGCAATACTCAATTATAAATTCCTTCATATGAATTAACTTTGATTGGATTTCCTATAGTCAAGCATATGGTCCAAATTCTATTCAAAGGATGTACACAGATAAAAAGAAATTGGAATTATTATTCATCAAACTTGAGAAGTAGTAAAAAAAAGAGATACAGCTGTCAATACAATGATTTTTTTGTGATTTCTCAGCCCACACTCCTACAACCCCAGTGGCCTCTTGTTTTTTTCTTATTTCATTATATGTCTCTTATTTCCCTTCTCCTTCTCCTCTTCAATATTTCCACGCTGCCACAGGCGTTAAAGTCTATGGATGAGGTTTGTGATTTGTGGTTGTGACCTGCTGTAAAAGAGTTGTTTTGGTCTTTCAGAATTTTAACTTGTCTTGCTGCATTACTAGAGGATTATTGCTTGGATTATTTTCTTGTGATGAGAATGCTTTTATTTTATTGATTCAAGTGCTGATAGAAGCTGAATAGGTAAATGTGACACTAAATCTACACTAATGTATATTTCTCCAGTTTATCCCAAGCAGTAATCTTTAAATATCTTCACAAATTAGAAAATCTTTTGATTGTATCCACATATTATATATGGTAATTAGAAGAAATTGACTGATCAATGCATGTTCTCTTACTCATAACTGCATTTATCAACAATTTCCATATCCTCAGCGGTTGGTGTAAAATAAGATATTGGATAAAAGGCCAATTCATATGGCATCCAGCTTCTTGTAATCTTACATCTATTCACCTAAAACTAGAATAATATTGTCCTTGCCCCCCAAAATTGCTAAAAAGTGTGTGCCAAGATGCACTGGCCTTGTCAATTATATCATTCTAAGTGGCAGATGAATACCAAACAAGCACGAAGTTGATACTATCGCTTTATGTCTATGTTTAATTTGTTAAAATGACAATCAGTAATATCCTTTTTATTAAAAGCAAATTACCAAACATTTAGCAATCTTCCATTATGTACAGGTAGGGGCACCTAGATAGTGGATTTCAAGTAGTACAAATGACAACTGAAGTAGATGTCAGTAGACCTTATGGTGATGACATTTTAGTTGTAGGGTCCACTCGTAGTGCAGTGTTAAACATCATCCACAGTTTTGAAATAAGCCTAGTACAGAACCTGCTAGTAAAAATCATGTATGGTTGCAAGTATGATATAGGTTTGGGTGTAGGTGTGTGTAGATGTTGCTATGGTTGTCAGTGTATTAGTATAAATGCTTAAATGTGTCTGTGTTTGACTATGTGTGTGCATGTTTGTAGGTGTCTCTGAGCATGTGTGTGTGTGTGTGTGTGTGTGTGTGTGTGTGTGTGTGTGTGTGTGTGTGTGTGTGTGTGTGTGTGTGTGTGTGTGTGTGTGTGTGTGTGTGTGTGTGTGTGTGTGTGTGTGTGCATGCGAGTACATGTGCATGTGCATATTTGTGTGCACATGTGTATGTGTGCATGTACATGTGTGTATGTGTATGAGTGTGTGTGTGTGTGTGTGTGTGTGTGTGTGTGTGTGTGTGTGTGTGTGTGTGTGTGTGCATGTGTATTTGTGTGTTTGCACAAGTGCATGTGCATTTGTGCATTTGCATATTTATGTATGCATGTGTGTGTGTGCGTGGGCATGTGCGTGTGCATGTGTGTATGGGTATGAGTGTGTGTGTGTGTGTGTGTGTGTGTGTGTGTGTGTGTGTGTGTGTGTGTGTGTGTGTGTGTGTGTGTGTGTGTGTGTGTGCATGTGTATTTGTGTGTTTGCACAAGTGCATGTGCATTTGTGCATTTGCATATTTATGTATGCATGTGTGTGTGTGCGTGGGCATGTGCGTGTGCATGTGTGTATGGGTATGAGTGTGTGTGTGTGTGTGTGTGTGTGTGTGTGTGTGTGTGTGTGTGTGTGTGTGTGTGTGTGTGTGTGTGTGTGTATGTGTGTATTATATATATATATATATATATATATATATATATATATATATATATATATATATATTATATATATTTTTTTTTTTCTTTTTTTTTCTTTTGTCTTTGTCACACAAAGACATAAATATATATATTCTGTGAGCTTAGGTGTAGATTTATCTTGAAACCCATTTCTGGTGCACTATTGCAATTTGATTTTTAAATGCAAAAGTAATTTGCATGAATGCATGGCCATGAGATATATTATTAAAATATTAACCATTACATCTTTTTGGATGTGAGAATATAGACATCAGTCTTTTCAAACTGATTTTACTCACCAATATTTGGCTTTTGTTAAATGATATATGAACAGAAAACAGTCATTTATGTATAATCAGTAAACTAAGATTTTTTTTTTTTTCAGTGTATACTCTAATTTTTTTAATGAATAAGATTTTTTACAAAGTTAATAGTACAGTGTATTAATATATATATATATATTTTTTTCTTTCTTTCTTTTTTTTTATCTACAAGAAGATAATGGGGTTATGGATTTGATAATTATTTTATGCATGTGTTACTGAAATTTATTTGAAAAGGTAAATCTATAGGTAAATTAATTTGCTTTGATAGTAACTCTCCTGTCCTTGATCATTTCTCAGGCCTTAGCAAGCATGTCACCTCAGCCACCTCCTCGCAGCCTTGAGGACATGCATAAAGACAAGGGGCATCATCATCATCATTCCCAGAGTGGGAACTACAATCTCTTTATCTATGGTTGGTGTTCTATTGAAATGTAATATTTAGATAAAGATTTGATGATTTTTTTTAGTATGGAATTCCAGCTAGTATGGTAATGCTTGTTATATAAATGTTTTACATGTATGCTTCTGATTATGGGTAACCATCTTCACAAATCACTTAAATTTAAAACAATTTCTTCCAGGTAATGATGTGGATTCAGTGGACATTGCAACGCGTGTTGCTATGGTTCGTTTTTTCAACTCGCAGAATATCCTAGCCAATTTCACAGAACACACACGAACACTTCGTCTATACCCACGTCCAGTGGTGGCTTTTCAGATAAACTCTTTCCTAAGGTCAAGACCACGAGCAACACCCTTCCTAAATCTGTTTGCTCGTACACAGGTGGGTTAAGATTCTAGACGGAGTATTTTCATATTGACAGATAGATAGAAATAGATATTGATATTTATACATGTGTGTGCATGTTTGTGTGTGTGTGTGTGTGTGTGTGTGTGTGTGTGTGTGTGTGTGTGTGTGTGTGTGTGTGTGTGTGTGTGTGTGTGTGTGTGCGTGCGCGTGTGTGTTTGTATGTGTACATATATAAACATATTTATATGAGTGTATGTATAAATAGAACATGTGTAAATATTTTGGACAGCTTAATATTTAAATGGTAATGCAAGTTTTATTTCATGATATGCTTCTGAGACAGATTTTTTTTTTTTTTTTTGCCAGGCAGTGGAATTTCTCGCAGAATGGGCTCTTACCCCATCTAATATGGCCTTTCTAAGAGTAAACACAGGCGTATGTGACCCAGCACTCATTGGTGATAAAAGTAAATGGTATGCCCATACTCTGGAGCCAATGACTTTCAAGGTTTGGCAGGAAGGTAGCTCTCTTGGTACGACACTCAGAGCAGGCACACAGATTGAAAATCCACCTACAGGTAAGATGTTTAGTCTTTGATTTTATTATAACCCTGAGAAAGTAATTATTAGTTGTTTTACATCCATTCTAAACCTTGCCTGTCAGTTTGTTCATTTGGTTACTATCATTTTACTGGAAGATAACAATACTCCTCTACCTTAACTTATTAACCTCTTCTCTGTCACAGTGGAGATTATGTTATTTAGTCATAATTTTTCTCAAGTTTTTAAGAGCAGGGAGGAAGGCTGAGCATTAAAATGAGTAACAATGGTATCACAAAAGATGCATTTTTTTCAGATGAGAGTGGAAGTGATTCTGAAGGGGGTGAGAGCACCAGTAGTTCATATTCATCACTTAGTGACTTTGTATCAGAGATGCAAGTGTCAGATCTGTCTCCAGGTAATGATTCTATGGGATTCATGTGATGCTGTATTTTGTATGTGCATGCATAATTTGTATGTATTCATATTCATGAATATTTATATTTATTAATGTAATATAAGGCATTTGAAATACTTATATAATTATATATCTTCTGACTTTTTTAGCATCCAATGTCATTCTGTTTGTGTACAGGTTGTGGAGCAGCAACAGAAAAGGAAAAGGCCACATTGTCTTCAGGACTGGACCCAAGATCAGTGTTCAATCCACCTTTCTGTCTCCAGTTACCAGGTGCAGCTTCTTCAGATTCAGGTAAATTAATGAATAGCTTTTAAAAAATATGTGATTATAAAGAAAAAGTAATGAAAATGAAAGATCTTGGTTTGAAAAGGACTAGGAAACAGTCAAGCTGAATGAAAGGGATAGGGAGAGATAACTGAATCTGTGAAAAAAATGAGCTGCATAATCCCAGACCATAATCATGAGGATGAGAACATTAACCCCTATGATCAGGATGACATGACCATCATGGTGTGAATAAATTTGGGTTGAGTCATGGGTAACATGAACATGCTGTTGTAGGAAAATTTGCCGTCATGAACTTGCCGTCATGAAAATTTTAGCTGAAGGTTAAGGTAATTGGAATGACTTGCCATGAATGCACAAAGCTCTTGAAGGTAAGAAGACTCAGTTGGCATTTAGGAATGGTTTTTTGCATTATTTCCATTGATAAATGACTGTAAGAGCACTTGCTCCAGGGATTATGCTATTTCTATGCTCATGATCCTTTTCCAGCAGCCCGATATGTTACCTATTGCTATTATTAATACATTGAGTTATGGAGCAAAAAAAGTTAGAACTGCTTCTGGAGGAAAAAAAAAAAAAACATTGCAAAGGGGAGATATAGAGCCCTTTTACTGCACATGCGTGCTCATGAGTGCCTGTCCTACAAACCACACACCTGGCAAAGTGGACACTCAATAAGCTTAATGTCTGTATTTTGGGTCATGTGTGGGTGGTGAAACATCCGGATCCAATGTGTTAAGTTTGTATTTTTGTATGTGTAATCTCTGAGTTTATATCTAATTTTGTGAAATCCATATATACATGAGAATAAAAAGAAATACTAATACTTTTATTGACCTTCACTAAACAGCACTGAGCCACCCGGGATCCATGTCTACATCCTCTTCACGGTCATCATTATCCTCTGCTGACCAGAGAGATGATGACGATGATGAAGAGACTGGTGAGGGTGTGATGAAACTGGAAGATGCTGATAAACTCATTGCAGCTACACCAACGCTACATCCCCTTCCTCTGCGGACAGAGGCACTGGTGAGCTAGATATGATAATATTTTCTTTGGTTATGGCACTTTTTTGTTTTCTTTTAGAAATTCTAAAACTTCATAATAGTTCTGAAATGTATATCTACCATATTATGATTTTATTTATGTCTCTAAAAACTGGTGATGGTTTTTATGAAAGTTATTTTAATTTTAAGCCCATATATTATAGGGTTTCCCTTACATTCTTATATTTTTATTTGCAGTATGTACTATGCTATATTGTATGTTCTTCATAAATTTTGTCACTTTTTATTATTTGCTCTGCCATAATTATGATGATCTCACAGTGATCCCATGATATCAGTGTGTGTTTAAGAAAACCAAATGAACAAGTTAACACAGTTATTGTATTGCAGTTTTTTATGAAGTTATTCCAAAAGTATTACCTTTTTTATAGATTTATGAAGAACCCTTTATAAATCTGCATGCCATAACTGTTTTTCCAAATAGGTATTTAAGTATTTGAAACTACTATGTGGCATGATTTTGGATTCACCTATTGTAAACAACTGCAGCCAGCTCATTCAGAAAAATAAGTTACTGTTAAATGTCAACTGATATTGTGCATCAGTGAAGCAATTGTGACAGGCTATTCAGAATCACTGGAGGGGCTTGATATGATTGTTCTCTTTGACGAGGTGTAGCCCCATGTTGCTGGGAAAGAAAAGCAAGTTCTTCACTACTTCAGATGGAAATTTTTTTACCATTCATCCTACAGCTTGGACCTGGCTCCTAGAGGCTTTTACCTTTGCATAAATCTAAATTACTTTTTGGAAGGCG